CGTCATGAAGCGTATAGTGAAGATCCACTATACGCTAGAAGATACCCAATATGACGATGACTTTATCGTATTGGATTTGGATGACAAATTTGATGTCATCCTTGGAATACCGTGGCTCAGAAGGTACGAACCACGAGTAAACTGGCAACATCGGACAGTAACGATGCCTGCCGCTTGTTCATCAGATGGCCATCTGATGAACGTTTTGGAGCGTCCACAAGCGTGTGGATGTACTACGAGTGAGCTGCGATGGCCTCACTTGTGGTACGGTCGTTAGTACGACTGCACAAAACCTTAGTGTAACAAACGGTTACACTTCGGAGCAAAGTTCCGGCGGCTGTGAGGAAACACAGGCTGCGCCGAAGGTCCACCACTCGAATAAGTCGAATGGACCGGGACAAAGATGTATCCCTAGCGGGGGACATCTAGAAGAGAAAAAATCGATCGCTCAGGTTAAGCGAAACGATAATCCTAGATCGACTGGAGAGTCTTTCGTAGAGGATCTCGCTGTGGTTGCGCAACCCCAGCTAGAGGAAGTAAAGGGAATAAGTCCCAAGATTACAAATACGGCGGAAATAAGTTCCCCGAAACCCGCGGGAATAAGTCCCCGGGAAGACGAAGGAATAAGCCCTTCGAAGCCTGAGGGAATAAGTCCCCAGGAAATGACAGAGACATTGAATGTCATAGTCAATAACGGATCAAGTGTAGGCGCTTATACACTTGATCTGATTGCGCCTCCGAAGTTAACTTCGGATATCACTCAGTTGCCAACGCTCGAACATAAAAGGTTCTTGCGTGATCTGCGTAGTGGCAAAGTCAAGCAGATCTGCGTACTCGTCGCTGACGACGAGTGTGTAGCCGACATAAGGTCAGCAACAGTGTTTACTGAGAACGAGAGAGTTCTCAGTAGTTCATCTATGGACGAGAGTGTCCTAGATGAAAAGACACGAATTGAGCGATATGACTCCCAATCATGGGAATCGCTCAAGACAAATCCTCTCTATGAAGATTTGGTTGAATTCAAGGATGTATTCCCTAAAACTGTTCCGTGCGAATTACCGAAGGATAAAGGTATTCGACACGAGGTCGAGCTTAAACCAGGCTCGAAGTACTGTGTCATGAAGCAGTGGCCACTGCCTCGTGAACAAGTACTTGCGATCGACAAGTTCTTTGCCGATCGTTTAGCTGCGGGCCATGTGAGGGAATCAACTTCCCCACATAGCTCTCCGACCTTCTGTGTGCGAAAAGCAACAGGAGGGTGGCGGATAGTGCATGCATTCAACAAGTTGAATGCTGCAACGGTACCGGCTCAGACGCCGATACCGAGGAAGGACGTAATCATAGATGGTATGTCAAAGAGTACCATCTTTTCGTCCATGGATTTGATGGATGGCTTCTATCAAATCCTTACGCGAGATCGGGATGTACCCTATACCGCAGTGAGCAATCCTAGCGGCATGCTTTGGTAATGGCTAGTAATGCCACAAGGACTTAGTAATGCCCCTGCCACGTTCAACAGATGTGTATCACATCTGTTGAGACCAGTGCGAGAATTCGCGCCGAGTTATTTCGATGACGTATTCATCCATAGTCGAGCTATGGATGTAAAGTCGGACGTTGAGGTTCACAGGTACCACGTCCGACAGGTTCTTACAATCATGCGAAAGCATCAATTGTATGCAAACCTCAAGAAGTGTATATTTGCAGCAAGCGAAATACCACTTCTTGGGTGCATCGTTGGTAAGAACGGTGTACGTCCTGATCCCGAAAAGATCAAGGCGATCACCGACTGGCCTGTGCCGGTCGATGTCAAATGTCTTCGAAAATTCCTTGGGCTAGCGGCGTATTTGCATAAGTATTCACGCACTTACGCCGAGATGACTGTGCACCTCTCTCGTTTGTTGAAAAAGAACGAGAGGTGGTTATGGAACGCTGAATGTCAACGCTCCTTTGAGGGTATCAAGCAGAGCTTGATACAATCCCCAGTCCTCGCAATAGCCGATCAGGACAGGCCATTTCATGTGGTCTGTGATGCCAGCGATTTTGCAATCGGCTGTGCATTAATGCAGTACGACCTAGAAGGCGTTGAACGCGTCGTCTGCTATCAGTCGCGTCAGCTGCAACCAGCTGAGCGGAACTATCCATTGCATGACAAGGAGTTCCTTGCCATGAAGTATGCACTCGCGAAGTTCAGAGTCTATCTATTAGGAGATAGACCCTTCGTTGTTTACACTGACCATGCGTCCTTACGCACGGCAGTGAACAGCCCGCACCTTTCACAACGAATGGCGCGGTGGTTGTCATTCTTTGCAGAATACAACTTTACGGTCGAGTACAAACCAGGACGACTTAATGTCGTCGCTGATGCACTCTCACGTCGTCCCGACTTTGAAACAGTCGCGAAACCCAACAGTGAGACAGTCACTGTTGCGGTTATGACGTCCTCAGTTCCATCTACAACGTTGTATGATGATGTGAGGCGGGCATACGCCCAAGATGGTGAGATAGTGAAGTTGTTGTCACATCTCTCCCAACCATCTCGAGAATCGTTGAAACGATTGTCGTCTGCGTATCGATCTGCATCAGATCGATACACTACTCGTAACGGTTTACTGTATTATACAGCCGTTTCTGGTGACACACCACGTGTTGTCATTCCAGAAGATACTGATCTGCGTTTGCGGATCATGTTCGAGTATCACGATGCTCCTATAGGAGGACATCGTGGCCGGGAGAAAACATATCTCACGGTGAGTCGAGACTTTTACTGGCCCCGCCAGTATCAGTTTGTGCGAAAGTATGTTCGCGCATGCGAAGTCTGCCAACGAGTGAAGTCAAGTCCTTCACTGCGTGCACCTTTACAGCCTCTACCGGTTCCGGCTGAGTGCTGGGAATCCATCTCAATGGATTTCGTCTTCGGGTTACCAAAGACGCACGCGGGAATACGGGTATTCTCGTATTTGTTGACGGATTCAGCAAAATGGTACACCTTGTGGCTGTACCAGAGACAATCACGGAAAGTGGCTGTGCTTGTGTCTTTATCGACACCATCTTCCGACTTCATGGGTTGCCCCATGAACTTGTATCAGACAGAGATCCACGATTCACTGCTGATTTCTGGCGTTCCATGTTCAAATCACTCGGAACGCGCTTGAAGATGTCGACATCTGATCATCCAGAGACAGATGGTCAGACGGAACGTGCCAATCGTGTCCTTGAAGAGATACTTCGAGGATACGTACACTCCTTTAAGAGTTGGAGTGAGTTTTTGCCAATGGTGGAGTTTGCCATTAACAACTCGGTACATGCGTCCACGACCCATACACCTTTTTACATGAATGGCTTACGTCATCCGCGTGTACCCACCTTACTAGAGTGTAACTCTGGTTTAAGGGGGGGAGGTACTCGCGCGAGCAAAAACCGATTTGGTTCACGCTCATCACGCTCTGACGAAGAAGTCATTGCGTTTGATGCCGATATCGATAACATCGATATCGAAGAAGATGATGCCAGTGAGAGTGCGAAAGCCCTCACTGAAGAAGATGATCCCAGTGAGAGTGCGGAAGCCCTCACTGAAGAAAAGGTTGATGTTGCTGCAGTGCGCTCACAGCACACTGAAGCTTACGAGTCATCAGATGAGTTCATACTGGCTCGTGAAACGGTAGTCCGTTTTGTGCAAGACTCCATCGCCGAAGCGGTGGACAAGCAAAAGCAAAACGCTGACAAGAATGGAAGGGCAAACACTCTTTTATTTGATAAAGGTGACTTAGTCCTACTGTCTACGGTTGATCTACCAAAGCATGTAGTGACGAACTTGGGTAGCAGTAAACTACTACCCAAGTACATCGGCCCATTTCGTGTATTGCACCGCCTAGGCAATGCATACACGATCGAGTTACCACGTAAGGTGCGAACGCATCCCACGTTTTACGTTGGTCGGCTTAAGCCGTACCATCCGTACGCTCCTTCTTCCGATAAAGAACGCCCTTGCGCTCAAGCATCTCGCAGAGAGCCTTGTGCTCCCGATGGTGGGCATCAACAAGGGTCTGAAGAGCAGCTATCTCATCCCGAGACCGATCAACAATCCCACGAGCTACCCTTAGCTCGTCACGAAGAGATGTCAGAGATCTCTCGTTCTCAAGCTGAGCAAAGGCAAACTCAGCTCGATGCTTCGAGACAGTGTCCGCCATTTGGAGACGCCTATTCCGCTCATGTTCGAGATCGTCGCGTAACCCTTGCGTTACGCGATCAAAGAAGCTCTCGGGTACACACCGATCCACATGATCGTGTGGAGAGCGTCTTTCCTCCTCCTCCACCTCCATTAGAGGACTCTCGCGGTGGCCAGCGCTATCTAGTTGAGCAGCTGTTGAACCACCGCGACGTGAACGGACGTCGGACGAGTTATCTCGTCCGGTGGCGCGGCTATCCTCCGTCCTGGGATTCTTGGGAGCCCTGCTCCCAACTGATGATCGACGTACTGGGTCTGGTTGAGCAGCACGACGCGGCACATCCTGTGCCGCAGAAGGACCGCCGGAGAAAGTCTTCCCGGCACGGTCGTAAAGGGATTTCAAGTTGTCAATCCCTTCGTACATCTCAGTAGAGATACGTACGCGTCACCACGGGCTATTAGGGAGGTAAGCCTCCTTGGGTGCTCGTGCAGAGTTGTTCACACAACATGGGCACGAGTCTCCCCAAGAGAGGCAGGGTAATCCTTTCTCCCTTGACAGACGATGCAGCTTGTAGCGTGCACCTGTCGGGGTTCGCTTTTCAAACTTATCACGAGCTTTGATAAGTTTGTCGTTCCAAGCGTCACGACCTACATCCTTAAGCTTATGGATGTAGGCGTTCCACGCTTGAAGCAGTGAGGGACCATCACGTTTGTGATTCCCACTGTACCATCGATGTCTAAAGAAAGCATCGATGAAGAATTCATGTTCAGCGCGATAGTTTTTCGCGCTGGGGTCAAGGTGATGGATCCTTGAAGAATCGAACAACCGTGTTCAATAACGATCACTCGTCGTCGCCGACAAGTGGTCCATGACAGATTTGGGAGGTATCCATGCCTTCTTTTCAGGAGCGAGACGCAACACATTGCGGTCCCGCTCTTCCTGCGACGTGCCGACAGAAGTACTGGCACCTCGTTGCGAAGTGGTGTCCATAGGAGAACCGACACCACTATTAGCGCCCGAGTCTCGCGACCTCGAGCGCCTTCGCTTCGGCGATGGTTCATCTGATTCATCAGATGAACCAAAGATGCTACGACGCATAGCATCGTCCATGCCACGCTTGGCAGGCGGCTTGGATTCAATCGCCGTCGATACGGATCCGTCATCCGTATCAGGAGAGTATGAGACACCGAGCTCATACTCTGTGAAGACATGAGTGTCTTCATGACCGGCGCCTGCATCACCAAGTGACACAGGCTGGGTCGCTTCAGCAACCGATGAGACATCAGTTGCTGTGGTTTCTGCTTCGGCGTCCACACAGAGACGTGCGGACGCGCTCTCGGCGGCCTTGCTCGCGCATCGCATGGGCTTGTTAACCATGCGATGAAATGTTGGAAAGTGGACTCGGACCAACAAGTGCAAACCCCGTCCCAAATGATTTGGGACGAGTATCCATTTAGTCAATCAGTCACTTTAGTGACTGATGGTTAAGGGGGGGGGGTGATGTAACGGGGTGAATTGTTACATAACAATTTATAAGAAATTGTTACATAACAATTTATAAGAAATTGTTAATAGAATATAACTATAAGAGTTATATTCTCAGAATATTGTCATAAGGACAAATATTCTGTAGCACTTACGAGTAGTTCCTAATTGGTTGATATAGGCCATTATATCAACCAACGAAGACGCGCCACGACAGACGCACGAAATGAGTGGTGAGCAGATAATCAATTTACACATTTGTATTTAGACATAGCTAGATGAAGATAAATAGTGATTTATTGCAGACATTAACTATACTAAATACAGCTCTACTTTTTACTTTAACCAAGTACTCGCTTCTTCTTACCGTCTTCCTCTGCACGTACGAGTGTACGTGAAGTTACGAGGCACCGCCTTATTCTGTCATCAGAATAAGTAGCTTGTACTGTCACCAGTACAAGCTTCAGGGTGCCCCGTTACAAAGAACGTCGTCAATAGCGTTCAACATGTGCGTGGCAAGGCGCAAATCCTGCGATAGGACAATCGGAAGTGCTAGAGTTGCGAGAAACCTGGGCACATGCAATCGGCGTGCTCAAGAATTAAATCCTTAAGATAAAGCAGATCAAAAAAAATGGGGCGATTGTTGGTTGAAGTGATATCGAACTGCGACAATTCGTTGAGAAGGATCGATTGGATGTGAAGCTGCACGATACCAAAACTGAATATCGCTGAATCAAGATCGAATATAACGATACCGAGAGTGAATATAGCCATACCGCGATCAAATATCATAGCAAGCGGTCGAGTATCAAGTTTTCAAGGTCGAGTCAAGATGCCAAGATCGGGAGCGCATGAGGTGCTCAAAGTCGGGATAATGACCGTCAAATTGGCAGGGATCACGGTCATAGTGATCGACGACCCCCCGAGGATAGAGACGATCGAGGTGAGCGTCGATCACTCGAGTAGATCGACGATCGGCCAATGAGATCGAAGATCACCCAAGGAGATCGATGATCTATCGGAAGTGAACCACGTATGCGAAGAAACGATCAGCGGAATGCAGAGGACTCGTAACAGCATTTCCTGGATTTTAAACAGGCATATTCGTAGTTTTAGCTTTCGGTTCGTTGACTTTTAACAGAATTATATTTTTTCTAAGCACACGCGTTGACTTCTCTTACGGGCTGTAATATCGGCTTCCCAACTTCAATAAAGTCGCCTATACCGAAATCAAGTGATATTACCAGGTAATTGGCTGGGGATCAAAAATTCTAACTTCCCCTTAACTGCGACTGGATGCAGCAAGAATGCAAGGACAAGGCGCAAGATCGCGATAAGGCTCATGTAACGGAGCGCTCCTTAACAGAGTAAGTCTTAGACTCAAAGAGTCTCTTTAGTTGTAATACAATAACAACAATGTACAGTCGTTCAAGCGTACAAGCCTAACAGTCCTGGTAAGAAAGGGATAAAGATTTACAGAATCACACACTAACTAGTCACTACTAGTTAAATAAGAGTAAATGCTTTCACAAGGCTAACACTCTTACAACACGCTATGCCTTAATTAGGCACTAGCGTCCAACGACTCAAAGGGGGAACTGAACTTTATTCATTTTTAGCTACGGTAATATAACCCTAAAACCTTGCATGACTGACATCTACATTACGATCTTATGACAGAAGCCTGATACCTTTATCTTACCCGACAGGGTGCGGTAGTACCGTAAGTATGTGGTATCAAGAATGTACCACTCAGATCCACCGATCTTTACTTGGTGTGGACACACAACATAACCGGTTCAAAAAACCGCGTGCAACACCGTAACAGCTCGAGTGGTCAGCAGGATCGCGTACCAAGCATCCACATAGTGGAAAAGGCGATCTTGTTGAGATCTGAGTAGCTTACATCAAGTAACCTACAAGCATACGCGAGATCGTGTAAGATTTCCGCATGATCACAAATCCCATTTTAACACAGTCAAGTTTTCTCTCGACACGAGTCCACCTGGAAGAGTGTAGCTCGCCCTACCGACGGGGCACAAGGTGAGGAGAAAATACAAAGCACAGTAACGGAGTACTCTCTGCGATAGTCGGTCGTCTAATCACCGGTGGAGAGTTGGGATCGACTCATAACGTATGTGATCGCCAATCCACCACAGTTGAAAGCCAAGTGAGCGATGACGTGAACTGTATGCTTGCACTAGACGATTTAAGCGCTAGGCACTGCAATTGAGTAATGGATAGTGGCATGACTCGTTACCTTTTAGACTATATGAGAATGACCGAGAGCCCAAAATACTGACAAAGCGAGTATATTGCTGCTAACAGCGGGCCCCTCGCTCATCACAAAGCAATAAAGATTCACAACCACGACTACTGTGATGGATAAGGTCACATAAGTGTGACTCCTGGACGTCTCATGCGCCGCTAACCATAAAAGGAACGTTAAATCCTACGGAGTTTCGGAGGCTAAAGAATGTAGGATATTCTACATGGGTGATCACAGAGTTGTCGGCAACATCGACAGTGGGGTGGTCAGTTTTGACGTGGACAAGAAGAACTATGTGCCAATTGTGTGGTAACACGTTCGCGGAGTTGTTAAACTACCATCGTACGCGCTAATGACGGCTCCAGCGCAGAGCGAAATCGAAGTGAGTCGAGACAAGCAACAAGCACGCTTATGCACGTTCACAAAAGGTTGTCTCACTTGGATTATGACACGATTTTTCGCATGGCAATCAGTTCAGCCTCCCGTATACAGCTGATCGATAAAACGCGTGAGAGCTGTCTAGCTTGCGCTCAAGGTACGCAAACCAAGAACCAGTAGTCGCAAATAAACACTAGCAAGAATTCTCCGATCGATGTTATCGATGGAGTCATCTGCTCCGACCTGAAGAGTCCCACGACTCCTTGCGACAGATTGGGACATCGTTACATGGTTGATTTTATGGAACATCACACGAACTACTGCAGAGTTTTCCTGTCAAAGAGCAAAGACGTGGCGGCTCAAATTTGTAAAGCCTATGGCATGGCTTTTTTTATAACAAATTTAGTTGTCACATTCATGTGCTGCGAACGGACGGCGGAATCGAATATCGACCTCTAAGCTCTTTTTAAGGACGCAGGAATTGCGAGGAAAATGAGTCAGCCAAGAAAATAAGCTAGCAATGGAAAGGCTGAGAAAGATACATTGCACCATCATGACTATCGGTGCATAGCATGGTGTTTGCGTGCGTCCTGCCTCTGACCTGAGGCCGAGTATGCGGCCTAAATACTAAATCGAAGCCCAAGTAAAGCGAACGCTGGTCGGCTTTCTCCTATTTAGATGTTGACCAAGATGGTAACCGTTTAAAGTTATCTTGTGTTTTTAGGGTCACTGTGCACTGTGCACCTGGACGCTAAGCACAAGTCACTAAAGCTCGTGGCAAGCAAGGCGTGATCATAGGCAAGGACGATAAAGTGAAGAGATACCGTGTGTAAATTTAGGGTACAAGGTCGTGGTCGTATTTCAACATGTCAAGGACGTAAAAATTCAAACGAATAAATAAAACGATTAACTACGGCGAATGCATCGAAACAAAGTAGATGAAGCTACGTGGACAGTTTGATGCAGAAAACGAAGATGCAAGCGACTTCTCAGGATACGATAAGAAAAACTGCTCGAGAGGTGGTGTTTGGACGCGAGAGGCGCGTGTGACTAGGGATTCTTTGGGAAAGACACGCGAAGGCAATGACGAACAATAAGTAGAGGAGATTTCGGGTGGGGTGAACACCATTCGCGAGAGCGGTCAGAAATGAAGAGCGAATTAAAGGATAAGCGGGTGGAAGCGATGGATGAGGATCTACGACCTTTGGGAGACAACGATGTGTGGAAGGTGGAAGTGCCGCCAAAGGGAAGTTATGTTCTACACACTAAACCAAATGGTTTTAAAAGCAAGTTGGACTTAGACGGAGAGATCGATTACTTTGAAGCGAGTCTTGTTGCCTGCGGGAACAAAAATGTCTTCAGCGTCGACTACGGCTTGAAGTTTACCGCTGTGTTAAAATTTTGTACAATGAAGGTCATACAAGTAGTTGCCCTACGTAGGGATGCACAAGCAAGACATGGTGACATGCCTGACTGTTAGACTTTATAGGTATTAAGGATGCTGTGAAAGTAGAAATGATATTAGTTTTAGCATCCTACAACAAAGTTTCTTACGCTCTCTACTATCCAACCATTTTATAAACCGATTGTGGCTGCATCTGCCTGCCGAGAGTGGTCGGCCGACCTTCGTTACACTCTCACCATCTTGCGTTTTCGCCAATACTCCTCCTCAATCGTCGCACACTCGCCCACACTCGATGTCTACATCATATTGAACAGCTTTCGTAGTTCTCCAATCCTTGGCGCCGGCAATACTTTCGTCAGTTGTCCGCCTTCATGATGCTCGATTCGACAAACATTGGTTTCACGATGTCCCTCCTCGCATAATTGCATATAAACTTCATGCGCACATCAACGTGCTTGACGCTCGACACACTTCCTTCAGTCTCCAGCTGTCTGATAGGAGCCTGGTTGTCCATGAGCATTGACATTGGGGCCTCCATTGTCGACAGCGACATTCCGGTCTGCTTTTTGCACACCCACTGCACAATAGCACCGTCCATAGTTAAAACTCCGCCTGTGACAGACTTACGGTCCACCTTATCAGCCGCATAGTCCGAGTCACTCCAACTCGTCAAATTGATCTTTTTTCCTTCAATTCTTGAAAAAATCATCTTGAGCTTGAGGTTCTTGGTCTCTTTTAAGTATCTTGCGACTCTCTTTGTCAGCTTCCAGTCACTCATAGTAGGTTGGTGAGTGCGCCGCGTGGCCTTGTGAACTGCAAAGCTAATATCCGGACGTGAACATCTTGCAATCCAAAGTAAGCTCCCCAAGCGACTGAAAGTCGCGAATCGTTGGTTCACCTCTCTGTCTCGGTACCGTTGTCAGGAACACAGGGTCTTTTTCAACTTCATTAGCAATCTTCACTGATAAGCGCACGAACACCATTCGCCTCCTTCAAACCATGACTCTCAAGCATTTCTTCAATAGTCGCTTGCTGATTTACTGTGCACGTCTTTTCGTCCTCCAAACTAACTCGCATGCCGAGAAACTTGCAAACCTCGCCCAAATCTTTGATCGATAAACATGCCATCGCCTCGAAAACAGCTCTACCATCCTCGGACTGGACGCTGTGACTAGTAAATCGTCCACGTAAATGCCGACAATCGTCACATCGTCTCCCTGGCGCTTACAATACAAGCACGTATCAGTTTCACACTGCGTGAAAGTAGCCTTCTCCAGTCTGGTGTGTAGCAATTGGCTCCACAGACGGCCCGCCTGCTTGAGCCCATAGAGAGACTTCTTCAGTTTTAGCGCTAAGTGCGATTTGTCTTGTACGCAAAATTGTCGTAGAGCGCCATCTTAAATCTTCAACACCCGTAGAATCGCCAAGTAGATATCCAAGTGCTCTTCTTTATCAGCCTTCACGTACGCGTTGGGAATATCCCCGTGTCTCGCCGGTACTCCCCAACGCAACGCAAGCACAAGAATCACCTTCACGTGCTCAACTTCATAACAGCAGAAAACGTAAGACCATAGTCAACGCCATACACCTGCTCATTTCCGCAGGCAACCAATCTCGCCTTGAATCGCTCAATGGCTCCATCAGCATCCGTTTTGGTCTTATAGACCCATTTTGTGTGCAGCACGTGACTATTATTTGGTGGCACTACGACCAACCAAACTCCGTTGTCTTCAAGCGCTTGCAGCTCTTCCGACATGGCAGTAAGCCACTTTCCCTCTGCCCACTCTTCATGGCTTGCCCATAATTCTTCGGGTCCGCCTCCCGCACGCTATTGATCTCTTCACCAGGCCGGTCACTTTCTTCATCGTTTCTGCGTGCCTTTTGCGCCGCCGTCCTGGTCATGTGCGCTTCGCGCGTCCAGGATTTTCTTTGTCCTCGTCCCTTGCTTTTTTCTCTTGGAACCGGTACTGGGTTATTTATCGACGCATAACCGCCACGCTCGCCATTTTCTCCATCTTCCACCGTTGGATGTACACGACGTAACTGCGCATTCTTCTCCTTGGTCAGTGTATCCACGTTTCGAACGTGCTGTGTGACGATGACGGTCTTCTCCCTTGGCAAAAAACCCTGTAGCTCTTCATTTCATCGCTCTTGCCGATGATGATGCCTTGTTTTCCACGCTCCCCCAGCGACTTGTTACTCGCATCTCTATGGACCGTGCATGGCGAGCCAAAAGCCACTATGTCGCTCAAGTCTGGGATGCTCTTCGTAAGCATCTGCAACGGTGACTGTCTTCCCATATTCGCTTTGCTCGGGCTTTGGTTAAGAATATACACCGCATATTCCGCGGCGTCTCCCCAGAAGCTTAACGGTAATCCACAAGAAAATAGCATGCTCCGCACCACGTTCATAATGGTGCGGTGCATTCGCTCCGCTTTTCTGTTGCTTGCTTAATTACGTGGCTCGCTCACCTGGTGCGCAATGCCAGTGTCCTTGCAGAATAGCTCCAAAGTCTTGTATTCTCCTCCACCGTCCGTCCTTAAAACGTGAATGCGACAATTGAATTGTCGCTCAAAAAAAGCCATGAAGTGCTTGAACTTCTGAGCTGCGGCATCCTTAACCTTTGCCAATAAAATACGACAGTAGTTTGTCTGATGATCGATAAAATTCACCATGTAGCGGTTGCCCAACATATCCCGTGGAGTCATCGGTCCCTTCAAGTCGGAGCATGTAACTCCTCCAATCACTTCGATCGGTGCATTTCTTATAGTGTCCTTTCGAGAATGCGGGTTCTTGGTCTGTTTCCCTTGGTCGCAAGCCAAGCAGTTTGCCCGCAGCTCATCCGTTAGCTGTATTCCTGATACGGGATCCTTGGCCATCCTAATTATGTTGTCGTAATTAAGATGCGCAAGCCGTATAAAAAAGTGCTTTAGCGATCCTTTCTGCACATCTTGTCCGACGTCCTCCTCGTATTGTGCAAGTGCTGACATCAGCACGTCACGTCCCGTCATATCTAGTTCGCATTTTTGTGCACGCACGACCAACACGTTATTGTGTATTCCCACGTCAAAAACAGCTGGCCCTTCGTCCAATGCGACTAACACACGGTACTCGCCCCGGTATGATATTCCACACCCTTTACTCTCCAATAGTCCATACGAAATTATGTATTTCTCGAGGTTTTCTGCGAAGTACACATCCGTCAAGCGCACCTTAGTTCTTTTAACTAGTACTGTCGTCGCAATAATCACACTCCACGCATCGATATGCGCAGGTGTCAACCATCCGCAGCAACGCACTCGCTGATGTGTTTTCGGGGTCTTCCAGTAATGAAGCGTCATTATCTAGGTGTCGACTCGATCCGCTATCGAGGATCCAGTAATCTTCCTTGACACTTGATCCGCCTATGGCCAAAACGAAGTCAACCTCATCCGTCGCTCTTGTCTCAGCGCTGCCCTCGGGGCACGCTATCTTTAAATGTCCTGGCTTTCCACATATGTAGCACGTGCGCATATCTCGACGGTCCTTGCGATTGTGTGTTCGGGTCTTAAAATAGGCTCGGCGTCCATTTCCGACGGTATTAACCACGTCCTTTCCGATATTCTTCCCGCGCAGGTCTATCTCGGTCGACTGCGCGAAGTCTGCAAGCTCTTCCGCCTGCCGCATATAGTCTATGCGCGTGAGGTTTAGCCTCTCCAACAACGACACCCTCATACTGGGGTCGGCGTAATGCACAATGTTGTCTTGAAATAGGTTGTCGGCACCTCCGCACGATTTACTCACCGCCACCAAATAAAGGTAATGCTCCGTCCAGCTTTGCTTGGAGCTCTTGTGAGCTGTAAAAATCTTCATACTTTGTGCGGGGATTATCTTGGTCGCAAACGTATGGAGTAGACGCTGCATCGCATGCTCTAGCGTCGGCTGTTCTTCAAACCACCCCTAGACCTGTTGGTTGTAATATCGCTCGTCCATACCGGTCAAGTGGTGCCCTAGCACGTCTACTTTGACGTCTTCGCTCCACTAGAAACCACTTGCTCGCTCCGCGAACATAATCTGCCTTACAAATTTCTTGCCCCATGTTGATTGGTGAAAAGCTTGACGACCGAAACTGGGAGTGATGCTGGGAGTCTACTCGGAAAACCGGAGAAGACACTTGGGGGGTAGATGGAAGATTGGAAAGTGATTGATTATCAGGGCTTACTACTTACTACATGATTTATATGTGGTGTACATATAAATCATGTGAAGCGTCTCATCATCCTACGCGTCTAATCAACTATGGTAATTACCGTAAGAACTACGTCGTAAATACTAAGCTGAACAGGCGGTTCGGATTGGACCGGTCACGGTTACCAATACTGGTAGAAAACCGATGACCGTCAACACGCCCCCTCAATCCGAACTCGCACGGATGCCGAGAGCCGTCGTCAAGTCCTTGTGACGAGGTCCCGAAAGTCCCTTGGTCATGATGTCCGCCATCATCACGGAAGTCTCGCAATACTCGAGCTTCACTTCACCGCGCTTGACCTCATCACGGATGTGATGGTACTTGATGTCGATGTGCTTGGCGCGGCCATGATTCACCGGATTCTTCGTCATCTTGATGCACGACTGGTTGTCTTCACGGATGACGAGGTCCGGTCCTGGTTCGTTTGCGGCCGCCAAAATCTCGCATAGCAGGCGATGCACCCACTTGCCTTCCTGGATGGCCAGACTCAGTGCGATGTATTCCGCTTCACTCGTCGACAGCGACACACTTGACTGCTTCTTGCTTTCCCAACTCACAGGAGCACCCATCAGCATGAAAGTGTAACCCGAAGTCGACTTGCGATCAGCGTGGTCGCCGGCCCAGTCCGCGTCCGAGTAGCCACGAAAGTCGATCTTGTCGCTTGGCTGGAAGCGGAGTCCGTGCGACTTGGTCCCTTGCAAGTAACGAAAGATGCGCTTCACCGCCGTCCAATGTTCTTGCTGCGGATTCTCCATGAAGCGCGAGACGTACCCCACAGCATACGCAATGTCCGGGCGCGTCGCAGTCGTCAAGTGCATCAAAGCTCCCACAGCTTCACGAAACGGAACGTCGATCTTGGCCGCTTCGGTGCTTGCGACAAGCCGAGTGCTCAAGTCGACCGGACTTGCTGTGGCCTTGCACTCATCCATGCCGAAGCGCTTGAGGATGTCGTTGACATACCGTCGCTGGCACATCGTCACGCTGCCACCCGATTCATCCACCAGTTCGATGCCCAGTACAAAAGTACACTTGCCACTGTCGGTCATCTCGAAACGCGTCTTGAGGTCGGCCTTCGTCTGCGCAATCAACTCGAGCGAGCTGCCGGTGACCAACACGTCATCCACGTAGACCAGCACGAGCACACAGTGACCGTCGACAACCTTGATGTGGAGACATGGGTCGAACGCCGACGCCTCGAAACCGATAGAGCATACAAACTCGTCGAAAGTCTCGTTCCACACACGTGAAGCTTGCTTGAGACCGTAGATCACCTTCACCAACTCGAGACAGTCGAAGTCGCCATCCATCTCGACGCCTTCTGGTATCACGCAGTACACCTTCTCCTTCATCACTCCGTAGAGAAAGGCTGTCACCACATCGAGTTGGTCCAGTGGCCAGTCGAAATACTTGGTGATCGCGATCACCATACGCAGTGTCACGTACTTGACCACGGGCGAGAACGTCTCTGTGTAGTCGATGCCGTACTTCTGCTTGAAGCCCTTGGCAACGAGACGCGCCTTGTATTTCTCGACCGATCCATCCGCTTTGCGCTTGATCTTGAACACCCACTTGGTGCCGATCGCGCCTTGGCCTCTTGGCAGTTTTGTCGCACGGAAAACTCCACGAAGGTGCATCGACTTGAGTTCCGCCTTCACAGCATTTCGCCAGTGAGCTTGATCAGGACCATTGATCGCGTCTTGAAAAGTCACAGGTTCTGCTAGGTCCGTTGCTTCCACTGCGTTTGCACTTGCACGCCAAAATGTTGGAGGCGTCGAGTCGTCATCTTGATTGTAGACGCTTGCATCTTCTTCGTCATCAGACATCGTTTCTGGAGCACTTGATCGTCGTTTCTGGTGACGGTTGGAGACGTATTCCAGCGCACTTGCTTGTTCCAACCCAGTTCGAGGGCGAGCTGAACGTGACATGCCGGGTCTTGCTTCACTCTTGCGCTTGCCAGTCTGCTTGTAGACGGTTTGACGCACGTCGTCCTCGTTGATCGCCAGGAGGTCGAGGTCCAACTCCGCATCTTCATCATCGTCACTTGGTCGGTCCATCGAAAAGTCAAAAGTCGATTCGTCGAAGGTGATGTCACGACTGATCACCACTTGGCCCGCCTCAATGTCGTACACTCGATAAGCTTTTGACGCTTCTTCGTAGCCCATGAACATCCCTTCACGAGCCTTCGGGTCCCACTTCAATCGCTTCTCCCTTGGTGTCAGGATAAACGCCCGACATCCAAACACGCGCATGTGCTTGATACTTGGTTTCGACTTGTACACGATCTCGAACGGAGTCTTGTGGTCGATCTTGGGTGAAGGCAGGCGGTTCTTGATGTAGATCGCCGTCATTGCCGCTTCAGCCCAGAAACACTTCTCCAGTTTTGCATGATGCAACAAGCTGCGTCCGATCGTGACGATGGTCCTTATCGCGCGTTCTGCGGTGCCGTTGGTCTGGTGTGCATACGGCACCGTGATCTGTTGTTCGATACCATGATCTTCGTAGAAGGTCTTGATGGAGTTGGTCGCAAACTCATGCGCTCCATCGTGCCGAACAAACTTGATCTTCGTGCCGAACTGAGTTTGAATCTTGATGATGTGGTTCTTGATACAGTCTTCACTCTCAGACTTGGACCGCAGACAGAAGCCCTTCATGCAACCGCTAGCTTCGTCAACCACAAGCAGTAAGTATCTGCTGCCGCCGATCGAGACTTGTTCCATTGGCCCGCAGATGTCGAAGTGCAGCAACTCGAACACACCATATTGGCGTTTGTCACGGTTGGTTGGGAATGGTTTTTGGACCATCTTTCCTTGCTGGCAACCGCGACACACACTTGGACCAGTCGAGTTGAGAGGTGCCTTGGCGTCCTTGATCATGCCAGTGGCCACCATCTTGCGCAGAACTTCGAGGGGTGCATGACCCATGCGCGCACGCAAGTCGATGGTCCCATTGCGTGTTGCTGCATTTGCCGATCGTTGAGGAGTCCGCAGCCAGTAAAGTCCATCGACGAGATCCGCTGTTGCCACGACTAGTGTGGAATTCTTGCGCTTCACTTGCATCTTGGATCCATCGAACACGACTTGGAACCTGCCACCCTTGTTGATCTGTGGCACCGAAAGCAGATTCTTGCTCATACTTGGTACGAACAGTGCGTCCTTGATCTCGATGTCGCGTTCGTCACCATTGGGTAGAACCACCCGTTCCATGATGGTTCCCACACCCTTGATCGCAGCCTTGCTGCCATCAGCCACTGATAGTTCGCCTTCCTCTCGCTCATTCAGGCTTGCAAACTTGGCCTTGTCGTTGCAGATGTGATGCGTCGCACCGCTGTCGACTGCCCACATCCCTGGCATATTCTTGCCCGTCGAAAGTCCAGCCTCCAGCGAAACCGCGAACGCAACTCGATCGTAGTTGTCATCGTAGTTGCTGTTGGTTCGCCACTGAACGTTGTTGGCTCCGCGTCCACGAGCATTGTTGCCGCCGCGTCGAGCTCCACCTTGATTTTCGTCCTTCTGCTTGGTCCAGCACCGCTCCGCCGTGTGCCCCAATTTTCCGCAGTATGTACACTGGCGAGGTTCACGCTCGGCACTGAACGCCTTCGCCGCGTCTTCAGTCTTCACCGATGTCGTCTTGTCACCTTGTCTCTTGATGTGCTCATTCGTGAGCACTCTCACGACGTCTCGCGATCGCAGTTCCGCGCTGCTCATCTCCAAGTTGAGAACGACGTTCTCGTAGCTCTTGGGGAGGCTGCGCAACAAGCAGATCGCCACGTCCTCGTCCTCCATCTTGGCGCCGATGCTGCTGAGCTTCGCGCTGATGTTGAGGACTTCGTTGCAATGATGCATCACATTGCCGCCTTCCGCCATCTCCATGCTGAACAGCTGGCGCTTCAAGTAGATGCGTCCAGCCTTCTGCGACCCGCCGTACAGCGTCTTCAAACGCGCCCACGCGACCCACGCCTCTTCACAGTCATCAACCACGTGATGATAATCCGCGCTCATGTGCAGCAGCATCAAGCCGAACGCAATGTTGTTCGTCTTGATGTAGTCGTCACTGGCGCGAGGATCGGCGAAGGTGGGGGGTGGTCTCCCGGTTCACCACGTGCCACGCCGACTTGGTCAGGAACACGCCACGCATGTAGCGGCTCCACGTCGCGTAGTTGTCGCCGTCGAACTTGTCGATGGAGATCTTGGTGGTGGCATCATGAGCAGAGGACATCGTGCTTGGGCTCATAACCTGTTGATTGGTGAAAAGCTTGACGACCGAAACTGGGAGTGATGCTGGGAGTCTACTCGGAAAACCGGAGAAGACACTTGGGGGTAGATGGAAGATTGGAAAGTGATTGATTATCGGGGCTTACTACTTACTACATGATTTATATGTGGTGTACATATAAATCATGTGAAGCGTCTCATCATCCTACGCGTCTAATCAACTATGGTAATTACCGTAAGAACTACGTCGTAAATACTAAGCTGAACAGGCGGTTCGGATTGGACCGGTCACGGTTACCAATACTGGTAGAAAACCGATGACCGTCAACACCCCACGATAAAAAAACCCACTTCCAAGACCTTGATACAATTCCTTGCCATCAAACGGTCGGATGCCCAGCTTCCTCTGCCGCGTATCCGGCACACGGTCGTATTGTAATCCTGGTCCCATGTGTGGTGGGGGCGCCGGTTGGTACATGGGTGGTGGCACGTAATGCTGGGGCAGTACTGGTTGCGGCGCCTGCGGCATCTCAACATTGGCCGCTGCACCAGCATATCCAGGCTGTCTTGCGCCAAAGTACGTTGATGGCGATACGCCAGGTGACACTCGCCTCGGTGGCGACACATCCAACGCCTCTTTGGTCATGGCTTTGCCTTGCCCCAACACCGAACCAAAACCGCTGGCCTCATGGCCCTTCAAACGCTTCTTCTCCAACAGTCGCCCTTGCGACGCCTCCATGCGCTCCATGCGCTCCGTGAGGCCCGTGAGAAGGTCCAGAAGCTTGCTCTGCGTGTCCCTTGGTCCTTCCTTTATCTCTTTTTTCTCCTCCAGGGCGCCAGCCCTTTTGCGACCGGCATCTGCCCTGCGCTGCTGGCGACCTTCAGCCGCAGCAACTTCTTCGCCATTTGGGCTCATAACTTGTTGGACTTTATAGGTATTGAGGGTGCTGTCAAAGCAGAAGTGATATTTGTCTTAACGTCCTACAAACAATGTTTCTTACGCTCTCTACCATCCAAATATTTTATGAACCAATTGTGGCTGCACCTGCCTGCCGAGAGTGGTCGGCCGACCTTCGTCACACTCCCACCATCTTGCATTTTTTCCAATACTAACGCCTACGTAAAGGCGAGCAACTAGAAACACTTGGAGAGATTACTTACCATACCTCAAGGTATGCTTGTATCTGATGTGACTTTAAAGCGACTTGGAGCTCAAGGCAGCGACAAACTGGCGCTTAGGTTTAAAAAATCGCTTTAAGGCTTTATAAAGTGGATTGCCTTTGGATCAAACTGTTGGACACGAAACTGGTCAAGGCTGGGTTTAGTCGTTGCGTGTCCGACGCATGTCTGTATTTTGGCCACGAAAGAGGCAACTGACGATCGTTGGAGTATATGTTGATGACTTGTTTGTGAAGTTTGTAAGCTTCCGTTCTGGTTCATGGGACTAAAGACTCCAAGGTAATCACGCGGCACAAATGCCCAAGAGCGCTTAGCCTTAATACAGGCTACTGACTCTTACAACCATAGACGTTGTGGCAAGACACGTGTTGTAAAATGATCAAAAGGGAGCTCAAATTATAGATTGATTTATAGCGATAGTAAACCCCACTCACGTATGAACCTTGAAACTACGCGACCAATTCTAGGAATTCTAATTTGGGTTCTTCTGTTGTTACAACGCCAGAACTACGCCATGCATTGACGATCCTATTACGATAGATACTATCTATCCGTAATCGATAAGGCACGGTATTACAACTAGCGTATGTGATACGATAATGCGCCTATCATTTTCACTGATCGCTTTATGTGTGTGTCACACCAGCGTACCTGGTTATCACATCCGTTTGTGTAACCCCGTTACAGTGCAAGAGTCAGCCTTACTTCAACACGATCATTCTCACGTTGGCAAGTGAATTGCATGTCGTGACGTCGACGGTGTAAACTGCTACGGCATGATTATCGTCAGCCTAAAAATGCTTGTCGGAGCTTTCTTGACGTGTCCGTACCAACGCGAATTGCGTCATTAACACGCGTTCCAGTTGATACGGCCCGGGATCATGGTGGATAAGGTGGAAAGGAGGCTGCTCATTCCTCTAAGCATATTTGTCTGGTAGTTAAGTGGAAACACATTGCGGCAACGACGGACACCTCTTCGATCACCTTCACTTTACCAAGGGTGGAAGACAGAAAACACGAAGGAAACACACGGATATGACTTCCCCGGAAGGCACCTAGATTGGCGACTTGTTTTATCGTGCTACTGACGGAGTCAATCACTAAAGTGTCGTCCGGACGATGAGTTTTGCTTAGTTGGTAGAACACGCCGAGTACGGCGAACACTTGTCGAGTGTGGAAGAAGATTTGCCATGGGTAGGCGATGCCAATGGCTTGTCTACTGACATGGCGTGCCATGGGTAGGCGATGCCAATGGCTTGTCTACTGACATGGCGTGGGACTTCTTATGCCTCTTGACGGTAACGCAACACAACGGAGCGAGAGGTCGACGAAGTATTCTGTGGAAACGTCCGGAATGACAGGTCATACTTGTCCTGTGTTTTGGGCGAGCAATCGTCAGAACTACCACACTGTACATCGGAATTATATCGAAAGCTACGGCTTTTATGCTTCCGTTGGAGACGCTGTGGCTGACTGCTACGATCGGTCATCACGATGTGCCTAGTGGTACTCAGATAGCCTTTGTCTTGTGCGCGGCAAGCGTCGTCGATGTAAATCGATCACTACTAAACTTCTGTGGCAGACAACGGCACTACAAGGGGCCATCCATCCAAGAACTTGCTACTATTCCATATCAACGCCAGCCAAATTTTCAATCTGCACGTTGCTTAAGTCAGTATCGTGACGTGCGTGTGCTACAATTTTGCGATGTAGGTCACGCAGGCGATCCTCAAGCAAACCTTTGCTCACAGAGAAGGATTCCTGTCGTCAGCACCAAACACCCATCAATGTACACAAAGACCAGTAGGGCCATGCCGCCAGAAAGGGTAAGGATGGACTACAGATACATGGGTATGGTACGCGACTTGATGGTAGCAGCCTCGATGACTTACGGACTTCTTCATCCTCGTGTCCAACAGCTGTCATACAAGAGATTCAGGTATTACAATTGACAGCATCTGCGTGAAACTCAGAAGTCTACACTGGTTCTACAGGACACCCCGAAGGCAGATGATAACTGCTTGAACGAGAAGCTCTGACACAAAACGTGATCTCGGCGCTCAAGACTCACGATTTCGCTCCGCACGATTCTTAATGTAATTGCGAACCAGCAACAGAGCCGGCGAAAAGAGACATGGGATCCAATGTGAAGGAGTGTCAGGATGTGCTGTAAACCACGAATTTGTGGCTCATGGTGTTTTCTGGCCTGGATTTGATCAAGAATTATGTGGCCAGCATCCACCTTTATCCACACGACTTGTAAGCCAGCTGCTTTCGTGGGTGAGCTCGACAATGGCTAATGTGCGACCTATTAGCTCATTCGACTTCGGGCGAGCATTTCTTGGATGCTCTGGGATGAAGACAAAAGGGCCACGTTGTCGTGAATATCATCATCACGAGTTTGATGCACATGACGTAGGTATCAGGTGTTTGTATTAGTGGAGACCTTGTCGCAAAGGTCGCAGTGGCGCAACGGTGGCCTCAATTCTACGACCGCTGATCTGTATGGTAAAGCTTTGTGGCCGGACCGATCGCGACCGTATTTCTTGTCATGTCAAGCTCAATAGGCGGATCTGTAAGATGTGGGTTGCAGAGGCATCTCAAAGAGATCATTAAGCGATACTCGTGCAACTACGTGTGAGCAAACACGCGCAAATCTATCAATATAACTTTTTAAAGAATGAGGTTGTTGCCATCGGCTTTTACGCCACGCGTAATACCTTCCAGGCAGCTGCATCGTGCCTGTCTTGGCATACAGACATGGTTCAGCTGCTTGGACTGTATTACGCGGCCACAATGACAACTACGCCTGTATCTATGTCATCCACCCGTTACTAGCTCGTGGTCGAGCTGGTTGTAGTGCATACTACTCTTCAGCCGCTGCAATAGGTAAGTCGCCAGCGAAAAAAGCTGGACTGTTGCTCGGAATCGAAAGTCCCGTCTCACTACACGTACCCGCATTTACCATGCAGTAAATGCAGCACTAAGATCGAGACGCCTCACAGACATCTTATCAGCAGCCGAAACGAGTCGTCAGAAATTGTCGTAACCGTAGCCCTCCAATACCTGTGCATGGCGTACTGTAGTCCTGTACCCTGGGACGGAAGTCGAAATGAGTGTACGTGCGTCCCGACCCGCTGACAGGCTTACAGTCATGATGGCAGCCCCGTAAAACAGAACGAAACGGTATCAAATGGCCACGAGCCACGAGCATATCAACCGATCCTAACACACAATACGACAACACCGTCCTTCAACATGGGTCGAACAAAGTATCCGGTCGAGAGAGTCAGTACGTCCTCCGGCCCTGTTGATGATTTGCTCCATGTTAAAAGCCGTGCGATCCTCGCATAAGTAACGGAGACGCGTGTGGTCGCTCAAGAGTCGCGTCTTTTCTCCATTCGTCTCTTTTCCTGGTACTGTCCTGCTCACACGTCCAAATGGGACGGCGTGTCTCCGTTTCTGCATCCCCGAATTCGAGCGATATATTTTTTGTATCACCGGCGACGTTTCACTGTTGTCGATCGATGGCCTGTTTTGCGATGCCACGTCCATAGTGAAACCAAGTGTCCGTCTGTCCCGACCATCATCATCCTCTATCTTCTACCTCGTCGGCTCTCCACAACGCGTCACCTCGATCACTTTCCGTTTTGCTCAGTAGAAAGCACGTCGTCTTGCGAACTTATTACACAGTCCGTTGTAGCAGTAATAGCATCTACATACATAAATAAAATGACGTCCGGTAGCGGAGACGTTGCGACAACGCGGCAGTCAAAAGCTCAGCTAATGTCCGAACCCAAGACAAAGACTGTTGCTGCCGCGCAGCTTCGAGTCGGAGAGCTCTACTGGAAATAGGAGGGACATTATGGCTGGACACTGGGACAAGTCTCGGTCTTTAACCAGGAGCAGCAGACTGCGATGTTCTGTCTCATCGATGAAGCCACTGGTGAACGCCTTTGCCCTACCGAGGAGCTGCAGGAGGTTGAACAGCTCGTGGATCTCCGCCAGTCGCCGCTGTTGGCAGCGAATCCGCTGTTCAGCACGGCAGCCGATATGACGTCGCTCCGTCACTTGCACGAGGCCGCTCTGGCCAAGAACTTGGAAGACCGCTCAGCACTCCAGAACCAACGTCCGTACACGTTCATGGCCAATGTACTGATTGCTGTCAACCCTCTCCGCCACTTATCGGAGCCGGACAAGATGCTGTTTGTGGGTCAACCACTGGACAAATGTCCACCGCATCCGTACAGCGTGGCAGAAAACGCTTATCGTCAGCTCTGTGCGGTGCGTGCAGTAATGCAGAACCAGAGCATCATCATCAGTGGAGAAAGTGGCTCTGGCAAGACCGAGACGTCCAAGATCATTCTGGACTTTTTGACCATGAGAGCAGTGCACAGCCCAGCCCTATCGTCGTCGATGTCCTTTACTTCTGATGAAGAAACTGATCCAGAACCGGAGCTGACAGCCAAGAATCGAACAGTGGTAGGATGCATGGGTCCACCTCGCTCGTCAACACTTGCCATGTCGTACCCCCAGTCAAGTGGCAAGGGCAAGTTGTCCCCTGTCGCAGTGGGGGAGAGACTGATGGAGACGATCCCGATCTTGGAGTCGTTTGGCAATGCCAAGACCCACCGCAATCACAACTCGAGTCGATTTGGCAAGTACATGAGACTGCAGTTCGCTAACGAGACCCATGAGCTTTCAGGTGCCAGTATTGACACGTATCTGCTAGAGAAGAGTCGACTGGTGTTCCAGCCGCAGGGTGAGCGGAATTTCCATGTCTTTTACGAACTTCTGTATTCAGACGACACGGAGTGTCTGGAGACGACTTTCCACTTGAAACCAAAGACGCCAGAGGCTTATTCCTACCTGAACCAGTCGGGCTGTTTGCGCTCGGATCTCATTGATGATGCAGAGAACTACCAAAACCTGAAAAGTGCGCTGCAGTTTATCGGCATTCGCGAGAGCACGCAGCACGAGATCTTCCGCCTTGTGGCAGGTCTGCTTCATATGGGCAACATTAAAATCAGCCAGGAAGACACGGAAGAGGGAGAAACTGCTTGTATCCGTGAAGATGATGTCGAGTCTCAGGAGGCGGTCCGCCATGCTTCGGAGCTCCTGGGTGTCTCCTCTGCGAAACTGACGGACAGCATCTTGTTGAAGCGGATCATGACTCGTGGATCCCGACGCAACTCGATTTACTTCATCAAGCGTGATGTTCGGAATGCCGTCTATTCACGCGACACGATTGCCAAAACAATTTACGAACATACTTTCACGTGGCTCATGTGGAAGTGTGCTGCGGCTTTGGACTACGACTCGTTCCGAAGTGATGTGGTGCCTTACATTGGTGTGCTCGATATCTTTGGTTTCGAGGACTTTGAACCTAAGAACCGGAATTCGTTTGAGCAGCTGCTCATCAACTATGCAAACGAAACCCTACAGAGTTTGTTCAATACCTGCATCTTCGAGGCTGAACAGGAGCTGTACACGAGCGAACACATCTACAACCCGACGAACCAGTCGCTATTGTTTCCGTTCCCTCTCGCCGGTCACGGGCACATGATCAAGGATCCAGACAACGAGAACGACTTTTTGGCGAAGCAAGTTGTACCTAGTGGTAACCTCGTGGCCTACTCGGACAACCGCGAGTGTCTGAACCTGATGGCCAGTCGCCACGGTGGCCTATTCGCAACAATTGACAATGTGTCGCGGCTTCCCATGCCTTCTGACCGCCAGCTGAACGAGCGCCTTCACACTCTTTTCAAGCGTCACCCGTGCTTCCCTACACCACATCCGAAGGATATCCGTGACACGTTTCTGATCCACCACTATGCCGGCACCGTTTCCTACACAATCAACTCGTTCATTGATAAGAACAACAACATCGTTTCCGACCAGTTTGAAGAGCTCCTGAAGAGTTCGTCGTCACGTGTACTGCAGGACTTGACTGGTAACACTCACAATGGCAACCGTGCACGCTCAGCATCTATCGCGTCGGTTAAGTCCGCTGAGCTATCGCCATTGGGAGGTGGCTCCGCATCCTCCAAGCGTCTCAAGGGAGGCAGTACGTCTAACCTATTTTCTACGCAGATGAAGGGTCTTACCACCGAGCTAGAGGGGACAAGCTGCAACTTCGTGCGTTGCATCAAGCCAAACACACAAATGAAGGCTGGACTGTTTGACCGTCCCTTTGTCGTGGAGCAATTGCGGTGTTCAGGCACCGTGCAAGCGTGCGAAGTCCTCCGTGTCGGCCTACCCACCCGCATTTTGTACGCCGAAGTTGTTGACGTTTATCGCAACTTGCTGCCGTACAAGGTCTTCTGCCGGTTTGATTCGAACGACAAGCTCTTTACACAGGCGATTTTGTGGGCCTACGACTTCCCCACTGCTGCCTACCGGTTAGGTGACACCCGCTTGTTCTTCTGTACCGGCAAAATCGATCTGCTGGACAAGCTCCTCACCCCAGCTCCAGTATCGACTGAAAACTTGGGCAAGCAACTGCTACTCTATCTGCGCAAAAAGCGCTGGATCAGTTTGACCACTGCCGTGGTCACTTTTAGCGCGTTCAAGCGCATTTTTGAGCGAGTTCGGTACCGTCGCCGTGCCACGACGATCCAGTGCTTGGTGCGTCAGCATCTTGCTCGAAAGCGTGTACGCAAAATTCGTGCGCATCGACGGATCAATAGGTTGTGGACTCGGATGTCGCACCAAGCACAGATTATGCGCGCGTACCAGGACCGCCCGGAAGACAAGATGGTGCTGCTTGACAAGCTGCTTGCCAAGAATTATCTTCCCGTTCAGCAGCGGTGGTTGCTGAAGTGGCTGGGTCCACTGCAGCGTGTCATTTACCTACAAAAGCGCTGGAAGAAGATCACTGCGCAATACATGGCCAAGCGTGGTTTCGTTTGGCTCTACGAACGTGTGCGGCGTACGCGCAGTGCTCTACTTGTGCAGTCGTGTGCTCGGGCTATGATGGCCAGGACACGATTTTTGGCGCTCAAGAAGAAAGCTCTTGCTCGGAATCGCTGGCGTGCTGCGTGCCTGAAGGTCCGAGTCTTTTGTCTTTTCACTCGACAATTGCGTCTGATTCACGTGGACCGTTTGGAGAAGGACAATGCAAGCTTGGTGCAAAGTATGACAGCCATGTCAGGCAAGATGAGTAAAGCCCAGGAAGAAGCGAGGGTCGTGAAGCTGCAGTTGAAGCAGCTGCAGGTGTCGTACAACGAAGTGAAAATTGAAGCCAAGCAGCAGCGAATGCGGGTGGAAGAGCTTGAGCTGGCTTTGCAGGCTAGACGATGTGAGGTTGCGGAGCTACGTCGACAGACCAAACGGGACTGCAGTCTCGTCGAGCGCATCATCCGCTTTTTTACGTGCAATTCCGCCATCTCTCCACCTGCTTCACCTCTCGGCATGGTAGCACCTTCTCGGTTGCAGACATTGAAACGGCAGGCGCAGTCAGCTTCAGAAGAGACGTTTGACAAGGCTGAGCCGATCGTTTGGGCTTTACCGCTGGGTGAAGCAGTGATGAATTTGCAGGAAGAGGACGGAACTGGTGTCAAACGGCGTGTCAACACCTCAGCTGAGAGTGATGAGCCCGCACAGGATTTGGAGGAGGAAGAGTTCCGTACCAAGGACGCCGACATGCTGTGGTCTGTATCTCGGTTCATGTTTTGAGGTTGAAGTGGTGTCGACTTGACTTGGATTGGCAAGTGCTTGCTACAAGATCAAAGTAACGTCAAACTGTATTAATTGCGTAGCGCTCGTGCACAACATGCTGCAGGACAACTTCTATGTCGTGAAAAAGTAAAGACCTTGATGGAATGTGTTGAAGTGGCGTATAGTCGTATGCAAGAGCCATTGGAAGTTCCTGCGCATCCGACAACACTACGTTTAGTTTGTCCACCCACGTCATTGCCGACAAGAATGCAAGACGATTCACGTTGCATCTGGCCGTCGCAGTTCAACGAAACACGAGCGATGAGGCTATCCACAGGCGGGTATAGCGTCGAGATCCCGTGGACAGTACAGTACATCGTCTAGTCGCTCGGCTAGCTGCTTTCCCTTTTGCTCCATCCTCTAGAGCGTAGAATACACAGCTTGTTCAATCAGCATCCGTGCAGTGTCGTTGTTTGGTTGTACTTTGAGCAGCTCCACTGCGGCCTGGTGCGCCAGGGTCCACCGCTGGAGCCGTATAGCGCAGGTGCCGAGACCGATAAGAGCCTCGACAAGCTGTGGTTTCAACTTGACCGCAGTGTCGTAGTGACCTAGCGCTTTGCAAAAGTTGCCTACACACACACCAGGAACCGCACATGAGACCACAAGCAGGAACGGACTGCCACCAAGCTGAGCCAAACGCACCACTCTGGTATTCTATCATGGCAAGCTTGTTCCATGCATACGCATACTCTGGATAACCGTGCACTACTTCATGAAGTACCTCACGAGCTTGGTCCCACTTCTTCTGCCCTGCCAGATCTACAGCACGCTGCACCTCACTTTGTGCACTCGGTCCGCATTCGCCAAACCACATGCCCTCCAAGCTGGCCATAGCGAACTGGACAATGGTGCTGTCGTCACAGCGCAAGTACGTCAATAATTGGTCTTCATCAGCAAATTGAAGCTGGATAATAGACGGAATAGCGACTACCACATCCGTGTCTTTAAGTTTTCCAGTGACGTCACCGGGATATCTAGTTGCCAACGCTCTTGACGGGAGGTGACGGGTACCATCGAACCCGTCGAAGTATAGCAACAGGGCCGGATGCTGAACTGCCTGCAACCACATCAACGATTGTAATCATCAGGTGAAGCGATATGCACGAACGAAATCACGACGATCTCTCACTTTTGGTGCTTCGTCTCGTCGAAGTTCGTCTTGTGGTACATTGTACAATTTAGTAGCAAAGCTGTTTACAAAAGACGCAACAAACACGACAGTTACGACGCGCTTGTCTGTCTTCAGCTGACATTCGAGCAAATACGCAAAATCAACCAACCTGGATCCAGGACTGTGCGGTAAAACGTCGTACACGACTTGAGGCCCAGCATCTGCTTCCAACGTGTCAGCCGTCACGTGCCACGCCAAGATCACGCCTCGCTTCTCTCCTTTCACTTGCACCACATCTCCGATCAGAAACTCCATTGCTTCCGTCCGTTCCTGACATAAAAACCACAAAAAAGAAGCAAGCCGTTCAGCATTAAATAGAGTGGTCTATCAACCAGAACAACTCTCATAATTTATACTCAGTCAAACCTTCGACTGGAATATTCCACGATCTGCAAACGCTTGAATCAAGGCGTCGTGGTCATCGACGCTTCGAAGAGCGTCAAAAGCGGCATCGACCCGAGCGTCGAGAGCTGCTTCGGTCTCTTTCTCCACACGTGACGCAAATCCAGCGCGCACAATCGCCGCAAACGATCGATCCTTCCGCCCCCGTCGCGCAAGCACCGCCATGTCCTCCAGACGCGCACAAACACGCGCTCACGCTGCCAGTCGCTCTTGATGCCAGCGTACGAGGGCACGGCACTCGAGCGGACGGCGTCAAACAATGTCTTGCCAGACTCCACGTCATGCTGCAGCGTCTGTGTAGACCGCAGTAAAGCCCTAGACGGATGCAGCGGACAATATCAATTTAGAGAATTTAGTCTAAACCGCGGTACAATTAATATCCTGCAGTACCGATAGAGCGCGATCACGAGCGGAGATGCCATGGCCTGACGGGTGGGTCAATCGTCAAACGTGCCGTAGGTGGAAGACAACTGACGTATTCACTTTTTGTAGAAAGTGAACACGCTGTCGACCGATGTTGCAAATGTCAGCTCGTGTCAAAAGGTGTGCGCAAACGTAGCTTACTTTTGTAATTTACTCACAAAGGCGCGCAGCGTTCTGACCACGTGATCATATCAATATTTTACTCATAAAGCGACTTGAGTGCTTCCACGTGCAGTAAAGATGGCTTTACTTGCACAATACATTCCCAAATACGAAACGCTTCGTGACCAGAATAGAATTGTGTTTCATCATCATTTCGTGAACAAGCGGTCTACCAAACTCGAGATCATGGCGACACTCGAAGGCTTCGACGTGGAGACGTATGCCGCAAGATACAGCGGCCGCAACCGCACCGAGAGGCTGTTGTTCCTCATGAAGACGTGCCCGGCGCTGCAGTCGGAAGTGAGGAGCGCTCTGCTCCGTGAACTTCGAGGAGGCCTGAACATGAGCCTGTACGCTGACATATTGGGGGAGAAAGCCGAAGACGAAGCCGGTTTTATCGATAGTGTCAAGCACAACGCAGCGAAGCAGCACGAGCGACTGGAGCAGGAGCTCAACTCGTACAAGTCGACGATGATCAAGGAGAGCATTCGGGTACTGAATTAAGAGAAGAGTTGGAAAATGGGGTGGCTCTAAAGTACTGATTTACGTTACTAATGGGGTTCTAAAATATGGTGCTTTTGCGTAGATGGGTCACAATGACTTGGGGGCGTTCTACTTCGAGCTGGGAGATCTTCCGTCTGCGCTCAAGAGTTTTGCTCAAGCGCGGGATTACTGTACGACAGACAAGCACATTATCGAAATGTGTCTGAACGTGAGCAAAGTGGCGCTGCACATGCGCAATTTCGGACACGTGACCAATTATTTGACCAAATTAGAGCAAGTGAGCACTTCTCAGAGCGACCCCATGTAAGTGGCATGTGATGCATTCGTGGTTTGCAAAGCTAGATGCTGAGTGTCTGGCGTTGTGTGTTTCCAGATTGAAGTCAAAGGTCGCGTCGGCATTCGGACTTGTGGCTCTGCATGAAAAGAACTACCATGCTGCTGCTTCTAAGTTTATCGAGTGCAGTGCTGACATCTCCTCAAGTTACAATGAAGTGCTTCACGCGGAGGACATTGCGCTGTACGGTGGAATTTGCGCTCTGGCGTCTTTTGAGCGTAAGGAACTGAAGGAAAAAGTGATCAACAACTCGTCGTTCAAGGCGTTCTTGGAGCTGCTGCCTTGGCTGCGCGAGCTCATTACCGATTTCAACTCGAGCAACTATGCGTTGTGCCTTCAGACACTGGAGCGAATAAAGGTGTGCTGGTCTCCTGACTTGAGGATTGCTGCTGCTGTATGTGTGCTAACGTTGTGTTTGCTCAATTCTGTCGGCAGCCTGAGCTCAAGCTAGACATGCATCTCTGTGAGCATGTGGATAAGCTATGCAAGGAGATCCGAAGCCGCGGAATCATTCAGTACTTTTACCCGTACCTTTCTGTGGATTTACACCAGATGGCTCGCACGTTCAATACACCGACAGCGGATCTTGAGAAAGAGCTGTGCGAGCTGATCGCTGCAGAGCGTCTGCATGCGCGAATGGACTCGTACCAAAAGGTTTCCATGGTGATGGCTGATGCCTGTGACGTTCGATTACTTTTCTCACCCATGCTTTTGTACATCCCACTTTCTGTTTAGGTGTTGCATGCATATCACCCAAACCACCGAGCTGTTACTTACAAGCGGGCGTTTGAAGTGGGCCGTAAGTACGCTGCAGAGTCGCGCAATCTGCTTTTGCGCATGAGTCTGCTCAGGAACAACATCATCATCCGCGACACATGAACTCGTGCTTCAGTGCGTTGATGTCTCGATTGTCGGTCGTATCTCTGGCTACATTGCTTTGCATGCTACAGCCACTCAAAGGGTCTATCAATAAATTTGTGGCAGTTGGGGCTTCAGCTTTTCGTGCTGCGAAGCGAGACGTCGCAATGTTCATCAGATCGATTCTTCTTGTCGGTCGTATCTCTGGCTACATTGCTTTGCATGCTACAGCCACTCAAAGGGTCTATCAATAAATTTGTGGCAGTTGGGGCTTCAGCTTTTCGTGCTGCGAAGCGAGACGTCGCAATGTTCATCAGATCGATTCTTCAATTACGAGCAGAGTCAAATTCATTTGCATTGCTGACGCTACTGAACCATGGCCGTTCTCCTGCCACGTGACAAGTGGTACACCCGTTGATCAAACAAGACTGAAGACAGCAGCCAGGGCACCGCACCAGAAAGCAAAAGTAAGCAAAGTACGTGGCGGTGTCCATTATCCGCGCTGCTGAGCAAGTCCGGGATCTGCAATTGTTCACGTGTGTGGTGTATGTGGCCGGTCGACGAAATGTCTGTAAACCTTGCTTTTTGTACAGTTGTTGCGGACATGATATCGCAACGACGTTGTAGAAAGTTGGCTGTCGTATGAACGCAAGCGGTGGATTTTTCAATGGATGTATGGTGCATGAATGTTCTCTTTGCAATCACCAACGGCTCTTACAAACTGTTTTGCATGTCGTTTGCTAAGGTTGCCGAAGTTCGGTCCGGTCAGGTACCGTTAAAATCGATGTCATCGTTTCATAACGGTGCGTACACCCTGGGGTGCGCAGGCCATGTATTCTAAAGCACTTGTAGCGTTTTCACTGACATGTATGATACCATGGCATGAGAGCATGGTTGTATTTTTGCGGGTGGGACTCACGCGGTTCAAAGAGTTTGGTCTTTTCGAAAATGTTGGGGAACTGCTTGTTTGTGAGCGTACAGAGCACGATAATTAGCTTTTTAATGTAGGAAATGGAGCGGTATGTACGTCGCGTGAAGGTGGGCGTATCTGCGGCTTCGATGACTTGCGCAACGTTCTGCTGACAAACCCAAACATGTGATTCTAGCATCAATCGACGACAAAGCTGAGGCTGTGAGGGTGAGCTCCGAGTCGTGCACACCATTAGCGCCATCGCGGAGGCTACAACAAATGAAAAATTAGTTGACATCATCGACACTACGACGATGAGATATCAAGCGCGACGAACAGTATGACTTGCCATCTACCGAAATGGATGGGATTGTCGCTCAACACCGATGTCAACTGCTGCTGCTGTTGTTCTCACTCCAAGCTTTTCCGACCCATGGGTGCGAAACGAATCGGTACCACGCGGTATTTGCCATCGCATGGACGAATGGGCGCAAGAAAACTGTGAGACAGCTGGCATAACTCAAGCGAGCGTAGATGCTACGGCCGTAAAGCTAGCAGCGTGACTGATAAGTTGAACAGACAGAGTCACAAAAATCGACCGGCACTTCCACTGTCTTCTATTTCATGCGGACAAATTTCAGCGAATATAAACTCCACACGGCAGAATCAAACTGTGATCGACTTGATTTTCTTGTCGCCACTTCTCGTCGCTTCTGTTTCTCACGGGAGCGGCTCAGATGCGTCACCAACACGTTTCAGATGCAAGTAAGCATCCGTACCATATCCTTCCATGGAGATCACCTGAAGATCGCCACCAAAGTAGCGTGCAAAAAGACGACTAATTGGCAATCCGTATCCCAGTCCAGCAAGCGGAGAGTCACCACCGAAATCGTTGGGTGCCTCCAATCTCTCAAATGCTTCCGAGTCCGCCGTCGTATAGAGGTACGACCAGATCCTCGAGACAGACGAGCGTGGGATACCCCCGCCTTCGTCCGAGATCTTGATCGACACGTCTTCATTGTCTTCTCCATCTGCAATGACAATCTTTATCGGAGGCATGTTATTGTCGACGCCGTGAAACTCCACGACTGCCCGCATCGAGTTCTTAATCACTTCAAACAGCATGTGATGCAAGTGACTCGGAACGAAAGGCATCGAAAAATCCGTGTGGCCATGCAGCTCGACCTCCGGGGCGTCTCCATACTGTCTTAGGCACATGTGCCTGGCCGTATCAATTGCTGCAAGAGCAATTTCGGCGGGGGACGTGCTCTCACAGATACATCCAACCCATCCTTTTTCTTCTTCATGCAGAGCAATGTGTTGGCTCATGAGCATCCGGATACCGATTCGCGACATGTAAAAAGCATCGAGAAACGAATGCAGGTCTGACAAGTCTGCGAATTCCTGGGATTGCAAATAGCGTTCCCCCAGTTCTTTCGCCGATAATGCTTTCGTTCCCGTATCTTTTTTGGCAAAGGACTTGAAAAGGTCCATCTTCAGTTCATGGACACCTTTTGCCATGGTGTATAACGTGCCACTATGGCGATTTTTAATGCTTTCGATCAACGAACGGAACGCCAGTTCATCCGGATACGTCTCTACTTTGGGAAACTGAAGGAGCTCTTGGGCCGAGTTGACGTACCACTCCCGTACTTGCTGAACCGACGGCATGTCACTGAGACCATGGGGTAGGTGTTCCAAGTTCTTGATCCGGTGCGCGTATCGCACGGGCATTTCTTCGTGTAAAAAGCGCGCAGACTGAATCAGTTTCTGCGGGGAAATGCTTGTACCGAACTCGAGCAGATACTGGAGCGATACGCCCGTCTGGGGTAAACGTGCCAGCTCATCGATCAGAGCTGCCATGTTGTCGCTTGTCGCATTGAGGCTGGAAACGCCGCGATGGGGTGGGGCTCGACTGACGAGACGCTGCATTTCTTTCTATACAAAGCAAAAGGAACTAGCGTCGAATGTGTCTGTCTGTCTGTCCGAAGCGGTGCTGCCGTCACCTGTAACCTCTCTAAACTGCTATTAAAACCGATCCCGACAATCTCGTAGTGTACTGCGTCGTTAGGAACACACTTAACTGATACTTGCTCCTATTATGACGACCATCTCCGGTCACGAAAAGTATCAGTTAATCCAAGGTACAACCGTAAACTCAACCGTACTATTCATGCACAAGTAGCAAACGCATACCAAACAATTGACTCCAGCCTACGATGGGTTTATCCGCGCGTGCAGAGTGATGTGACCGCCATCTGACGATCGAGGAATCCAGAGCAACAATGAACCACCTCCTGAACCAGGCATACCCATGACACCAGAGCGCCAACGATCCAGATACAAGGTCTTGTCTTCTAGCTCTGGAAAAGTGGCATCCCAAGCAACGATGTCCCCAGCACCAACATCAACCTCTCCGTACTCTTCTCCGCCTGAATAAATGACGACTGTCACGTCCTTCGTGTCAATGCTCTCGAAAACGAGATGTACAACGCCGTCACCCGCATGCGTATACGATCCGTAGCTACCTATAAATGCCTCGTCCATCAGTGTCATCCCCAGTGCGTCGTACAGCGTGCCATCGTCGATTTCGCCCAAGTATGCGGTTGGTCCACAGACTGGCTGTACAAATTGTGAAGCCATGTACGCAATCCCACTAGGATCGACAACCGACAAACCGACGAGGCCCATGTTGGCGACCTCCAACGCGTATTCATCCTCTGCGACGTCCTTGCCGTTGTCGGTCTTACCCTTTTCAATAAGCTGGTCGACAATCACCCCAAATGTCTTCCGAATCAAATCGCGTGTCTCGTACGCCATCGCCATAGTTTTGGCAGCCAAAAGTTCGCCCATGCAATTGTTCGTGATCACAGGGATATCGTTCATCACAATCGAAGACTCATACACCTTCACGCGTAGATCGGCGACAGAAGTACTTACGTTCCGGTACCTGAGAACAGCCCGGGTGACGCGATCAGTAAGACGCTTGAGGTTCCAACCGCAGCTTGAGTTCTTCGCAACCAAATCTTCTAGCTCGTCCACCGTCGTCCGTGACTTGTTCGCTGCACCAGTGCCAGTGAGTAGTTTCATCACGTTCTCTGCAGTTGAAATGATCACGTCGCCATTGGTGATCGCTTGCTTCACAATACCTTCCACGGTGGCGAGCACGTAGGAAACATATACGGCGTTTTTAGGAACGGGGATACCCATACACGTGCATACCGCAAAAGGGAGGTCGTACACAACGAGATCAGTCTGGTAGGCGGCAGCAAGTATCTCTGCTGTGTCTCCTACGGGCCCAGTGGTTTGTCGATATCGTAAGTAGTAAATCAGGCCTCTGATCACATTGACCATGTTGAGTACGCACAAAGCAGCCCACTTTGCAGTTTTAAAGGCAGCGTGGACTTGGCCCAACACGCTACCGGTGGCCAAGTTTAGTGCCACAGCAACAACTGAGCCAACTTTTTGCATCACCGCGAGAGCGCAGTCATCGTTTTGGGGAATACACTCCAGACCGCACGTAACCGGAAAGGCCATCGGACAATGCACGACACATTCGGTATCGTCCTTGCCGTAGCCTGACGGGCAAACATTGTTGCTGTCAAAGTTTACTGCTTTGCGGTAACACGCTGTGTCACTGGCTTTGCCAACGGTGGGGCCCACCCAGTTACGAATAGTTGTGCCGTATGTGTTATTTCCCACACCCGAAGGGTCCGTAAGTAGCAGGTCCTTTGCCGTTTTTCTAGTCCAGATTACACCAAGTTGTTTCACTCCGTCATCAGCGCGGCCGTAGAGCCCACTGAGCACAAACCCTTCAGGAGGCGTCGCAGTACCCTTATTATCCGTCTTAGTTCCTCCAGCAAGCGTATTGTTAGCGCTGGTTGTGAAACAAACATAAAACACGGCCGTATGCTTAGACTTCTTGGCCCAATGCACTTCCACTGACGTGATGACCTCATCTGGACCGAGAGCAAGCGTCTTCTCAGTACCACCATGATCACCGTGGTTCAGTGTTAATTCAGCGGGCGCGGAAATTTGCACCGTTACAGCGTCAAGCCGCAAGTTAGCTCGAATAGTGATCGCACTAACAGTCTGGCCAAACTTGATCTTCTGGATGTCCGAGAAGGCATTGCCGTGAGGACCACCAAAAAGCTGGCTGAGTGCAATGTCGTCGTCTGCCAAAACTGGAGTGGAGACGGTCTCGTTCATCAATGCAATACTTGACCAGACGGCACCAATAAGGTCTATTTCTTCACCGTACCGACCAAAAAATCCGGCAAGTTGATAGCCTTTAGGCGCTGTCACTGATCCCTTTTCAGTAGTCTGCGATCCCCCAGACAATACGTTCCCTTTGCTCGTACCCAAGCTAAGGAAAAAGATACGAGTGTGACCACTCTTTTGACCCCAGTGGGCCTCCATAGATGTAATGTATTCCCCTGGTTCAAGCACCATGGTGTGTTCCTTACCATTGCGCCCACCATGAGTGAGAGTCATTTCCTTCGGTGCAGACACTTGGACCGTGAGGCCGTCAACACGCTTACCAGCACGAATTGTGACGGAAGTAATGGTCATCCCAGACATAACAGCAAGATGATCCGAGAACTGTTTCCCGTGGGGACCACCAAATGAATCGCTCAGCTGAACGGCTTGCTCATTGACCTTGGCTTTCACTTCTGACAAGCTTCCAGCTATGTCAGCAGGACTAACCGTGCCCGGTAAGTCTTCAGCTGGTATTGAAACGGGAACTGGCACAGGAGCGGGCTGAACAAGTGCGATGAATGCCCATACTGCTCCCAGCGCATCAATCTCGCTGCCCCCCTTGCCGAAAAAACCGGCTAGCTGAAAGCCATCGGGTGCTGTTACCATCAGCTTATCGCCTGTCACTGAGCCCCCAGACAACGCTCTACCTGCGCTCGTAAGGAAGCTCACGTAAAATATTCGCGTGTGGCCATCTTTTTTGCCCCTGTGGACTTCCATCGATTTAACGTACTCGTCCTTATCTAGCAACAGTTCCTGACGGTTGCCTCCAGTTCCGCCGTGGGTAAAAGTAAGTGTCTTGGGTGCTGAGATACTCAGTGAGATACCATCAAGACGCTTGTTAGCATAAATCGAAATGGCTTTGACAGTTTGTCCTGAATTGACAAAATTCTTGTCCGAGAAGTCTCTTCCATGAGGTCCACCAAAACTTTCGCTCAGTACAATGGAGTCTTTCACAGCCATTACCGGGCCTAACGGAGCAACGCTTTCTACTGGAGGAACCGCTGTATCAGCAGAAGATGAACCAGCCAAAGAATCCGCTGCAGGCATCGCAACGGATGACACTCCCGAGCCTTCCGCTGACCTTGTATCAGACGCTCCCATCGACTCGGCTAATGATGAGCTGGCATCTCCAGCTGCAGAGTTCTCTTCCAGTGCAGACTTATCATCGGACGTCACTTTCGAGCCTTCAGTTGACGTTGCATCGGACGCTTCCGTCGACTCGGCTGATGATGAGCGAATGACGCCTCCTGCACCATCATCTGCTGAATCCGCAGACCCCGCAAAAAAATGATCCGTAGACGCTGCTGAGTCCGTAGACCCCGCTAACGATTCATCAGTAGACGCTGCTAAGTCCGTGGACGCCGCCAAAGTATCATCAGTAGACACCGCCAAGTCCGCTGATCCAAACGCAGATTCGCTAGCAGACACTGCCGAGTCTGCAGCTCCAGACGCAGATTCATCGGTAGCCAACATCCCCAAAGACCGGGTACCCGACACAACACTATTCGTCGCATCCAACGACTCTGACGCCGTGAAAACAGGACTCGCTACAGCAGGAGCGTCTGCGACTGGAGCATCTGCCGAAATACGGGACCAAATCGCTCCCAACATGTCAATTCCGTCGCCACCTCGACCGAAAAAACCGCCGAGCTGGAACCCCTCCGGCGCAATGGATGTTTGCTTGCCGTTTGTCTTGGTCCCGGCCGAGAGCTTTTTTCCGGCACTTGTTCCAAAACTGAGGTAAGAAATCCGTGTGCGACCATTCCTCTCGCCCCAATGCGCTTCCATTGACGTAATATGCTCTTGCGCACCAAGCTTAAGCACGTGTTCCTTCCCATCACTTCCTCCGTGACTAAACCTCGTGGCGCTCGAGCCCAATACTTCCAATGACACTCCATCCACGCATTCACTAGCTCGAATCGTGATTGAGCCAATGGTTTGTCCCGCAACGACTGCAGCCTGATCAGAGAATTCAGTCCCGTGGCGGCCACCAAAACTCTCACTCAATTGGACCGAGTCGTCTGACGCTGATAGAGCAACCACCAGGAAGAGACAGAGCAACATCTGGAGTGCGTGTGGCATTTTGCACATTGCGTCGAACTCGAGGCCTTCACTGGCATTTCGCAATGTTGTAAGAATCGGCTATGGAGCAGTGTAAAAGCGTGGTCAGATCGTGTTTGACAGAAGGCAGAAGAGACATAAATTTCAGTGATCCGTCACATAAAAAGAGAAAAAGGACTGACACTTTGTTTATCACTATATATTTTCGCGTCTCCAAGACTTCTCGAACGTCCTCCGCCAAGCTCACAGCAGTATTCGTGCCGAAAATGGTCTAGTTGTTGTAACTGACTTTTCCGACCCGATGTGATGCTCTTTAACGTGTGATGTCGCGTATCTTTGCGCGTTGTTTGAGACGTGTTCGTTCCACCAGCGTAGGTCCTTTCTGCGACGCACGTCCTGCTAGAGTCCAATTGGAGTAAACCACTGAAGACTTCCTTCCAACGTCAGTGGTTTTTGTGCGTGAAACGGCTCGGTTTCGCTGCCTATAAACTGTCGTCTTGCCGACGGCGCCCTTGGTCCACCACTGACGATTCCATTAAATGACACATGTCTCCGTGTCATCACCAACCGCTCACTACAGTTGCCGCAAAATGACCTGAGAAGGTGGCAGTCTTCCCACCAGGCAGTGAACGGCTAATGGATGGGCTCGTTCATCTGCCCCGTCCAAAAGTACATGGTCTCCTGCTAGCACCCTTGCGCGGCCGGACACCACCAAATATGTGATCTAGTCGCTTTTCGACCGCCACAAACCGACCTTCTCCGGCAGCTGCTGTTGATTCCCGCCTCGGGAGTATAATTTGAGCCGGGAGGTGTCTAAGCGAATCGACCCTCTTCACATTCTGCAATTGTTGCGAGCTCGACGGGTGCAGCTATTAGTGACTGAGCTCAAGGTACGTGAATATACAGAACTTGATTCAGTTCAATGGACTGAAATGCTTATACTAAAGGGTGATCTCCGTAGCTTGCTGTTGTTTGCTGCTTGAGACTTGGATGGTAAATTGAGAACTAAATGTATTGCAGCCTTTGATCCTAGTTATCTCTGTGTCCGTTACTTTCAGTTTCTTCTGCGTAGGTTTCGTGTCATTACTCGTCCGTTACGATAGTCGCTTACCTTTATCACTAGTCGCGCCCTTTCACATCATGGGTCGCGTTCCTTCAACATCACGAGTCGTTCTACTTCAACACTCCTTCCCGAGTGGTCATACTTACCCTGAAAGCATCACAAGTCCGCGAAGCTGACTAAGTCGCGGCGCTGGGAGGGTCTTGGTCAGTATGTCCGCGCGCATACCCTTGGATTCGCAGTACTGCACCTTTAGCATCTTCTTTGTTTCCAAATCCTTTACGAACTTCAATCGCACATCAATGTGCTTTGCTCGACCAGACGTGTCCTCGCCCTTGATTTGAGCGATGGCTGCTTGATTGTCAACATGTAACGTTGAATCAGGCTGAACCGACACGCCAATCTCCTTAAGCAGTTCAATGATACCCATCATTTCAGCAGCGGTTTGTGAAGCCGCCACAAACTCGGCTTCCATCGTTGATAAGGCGACACACTTCTGCTTCTTGCATAGCCATCCCACCACCATTCCGGCCACCATCAGCACACCACCGCTGACTGACTTCCGGTCAGTTTTATCTGCGGCGTAGTCTGCGTCACTGTAAGCTACGACCAGCACGCCATCGTCCTTGATTGCGTCCTTTTTTTCGTGCATTATGAACTTGAGTCCCTTTGTGCCCTTCAGATACTTGGCTATCTTCTTTGCCAAACGCCAATCGCCTTCAGTTGGCGCGTGCGAACGCCGCGTCACTCGGTGTACAAGCAAACGCAATGTCTGGGCGTGTGCATCGGGCGATCCACAGCAGACTGCCCACCAGCGACTGAAACGTCTGTACAGTCGGTCTCTGTGGCGAGCCACTGCCACCAGACGGTAGCAGGGTTATTTCTTCGTATCCGTCTTCTCCACTTATTGGTACTCTGACCGCTGCCGAATCTTTAAGTCCAAATTTGTCGAGCATCTCGTCGATTGTGCTTTCTTGATCTAGTGCCCATCCGGTCTTGGCGCTGTAATTGAACGCGATTCCAAGAAACTTGGTTACCACGCCGAGATCCTTCAGCTCAATGACTTGCATGTCGTTGAAGAAGTTGTCGACCTTCTTTACGTCCGTCCCAGTCACCAGAACATCGTCCACGTAGATCCCCACGAGCGTTTTACCGTCGGTCTCAGTCTTTATGTAGAGACAACTGTCTGTATAACACTGACTGAAATTCAGCGACATTAAGATGTCGTGAAGCATCATGTTCCACAGCCGGCCCGACTGTTTCAGGCCATATAGACCTTTCTTGAGTCTTAGTGCGAGCTGCCTCTGGTCTTTCACGCCATGTTTTCGTAGCAACTTGGAATCTATATTCATTCCCTGTGGAATATGGAGTAGAATTTCCAAGTCATCTTCTTTTTCCGCTTTAACATAAGCGCTCGGCACATCGCCGTGTCGTGCAGGTACCCCCCATATCCTTGACACAGCAAGTATCACCTTGCCAGATATCATCTCCATCACAGCTGAGAAGGTGTAGGTGTAATCCACACCATACACTTGTTCGTCTCCGCGCGCCACAAGCCTTGCCTTGAATCGTTCGATAGAACCGTCTGCGTGCACTTTTAGCTTGTAGACCCATTTACTGTGCAGCAACTTGGAATCGCGTGGTTTTTGAATAACCTCCCAGGTATCGTTGTGCTCTAACGCTTCAATCTCCGTACACATAGCCTCTTCCCACTGCTTGACTCGAGGGTCTTTCATCGCCTCGCGATAGTTTTTGGATCTTTGAGACTGATCGCTTTCACTCGACTCACTGGTACGTGCTTGTCACCCATATTTCGGGTTTGCATCCTAGTTCGCGTTTGCTCTTCCGCGGGTAGTAGTTCGTCCCCGCTTTCCGCTTCTTGTAGGTCCGTGTAATTCTTGCTCACATCGGGTTCCTTCTCTTCTTCAGAAAATTTTCTCTTTGACTTGACTGCGTCCTTTGTTGACTCGGCAGAGTCATGTTTCGTCTTTGCTGACGCCCGTTTCGATGGAAGCAAAATTACTGCGTGGGGATCCTTCCGCTTCGCGGCATCGTCGAGATCTGACACATCGCGCCGCAGCATAGGGTCTTCTCGCTCAAGCTGTGCCTGTAGCTGGACGTTCTGCTCACTGTTAAGTGTCTCGACATTGCGGATGTGCTGCGTTGTAATAACAGTCCTCTCCTTTGGCAGGTACACCCTGAAACCTTTAGTCTCATCGTTCTTGCCGATGACCATGCCAACCTGGGATCTCGTCTTCCACGATTTCTTTCCGGGGTCCCTGAACGCTGAGCATGGGCTGCCGAAAGTCACCATGTCCGCCAGATTAGATATCTTGCCTGTCAACATCTCTAGCGGTGACATCCGCTTCGGGTTAGCACTGCACGAGCTCCGATTTAATACGTAAGCTGCATACTCGACGGCGTCACCCCAAAAAAAAATAATGGTAGGCCACTCGCAAACAGCATACATCTTGCCATGTTTAGGATAGTTCTGTGCATTCGCTCAGCTTTTCCATTTGATGCTTGATTATCGGCCTCGCTGATTTGACGCCTTACTCCAGCTGACCTGCAGAACGGGTCGACGTTAACGTACTCCTTTCCACCGTCCGTGCGCAACACATGAATGCGGCAGTTGAATCTCTTCTCAAAATAGAGTAGAAAATGCTCAAAATTCTTTGTCGCCTCAATCTTGTTCTTGGCGACGAAAACGCGTACGTAATTCGTTGAGTAGTCGACGAAGTTGATAAGGTATCGATTTCCACGACGGTCCTTCGGAGTCATTGGTCCTTTAGTGTCGCTACCGATAACACCCCCGAGCTTGTCGATCGGTGCATTCCTTCCTGTGTCCTTCTTGGGCTGGTTGTTCTTGCTCTGTTTGCCCTGTGCGCAAGTCAAACAATTTGGCCTCGTTCGGTCGGTCAACCGGATACCTGAACCTGCCGAGTCGGCCATGCGTACGATAGTATCGTAGGAAAGATGGCCCAGTCTTTGGTGCAATTCCAGCAGTGTTGTATCCGTGACTGCTTCATCTATTTCGTCGAAACCTTCTTGCACGGCTAAGTTGACCACTCGTACTCGTGCATCCGTTGTGCTCTCACCCATGACGTCAATAGTCAGGACATTGTTGCGGCGGAAGACTTCGAATATCTTCCTGTTGTCCTCTTGGCGCACCACATAACTTTGGCCGCCCTTCTCGCATGAGGAACACACCACGTTCCTCCAATAAACCATAGCTGATGATGTTGTCAGCAAGGTTTTCAGCGTAGTAGACCTCGGTGAGGTCCACGATAACCTCTTTTCCATTGACCACCGTCTTCAGCTCGGCCGTTCCCACTTTGGTCACTCGGACCATCGTGTTGTTTGCCGCGCGACATGAATGATCGCAATCCTTCACGTTCTTCAACATCATCGCATCTTTCACAAGGTGCACGCTCGAACCGCTGTCCAGGATCCACGAGTCAGAGTCAGCTGTCGTACCGGTACCAATGGCTAACGCAACCCGGCTCGAAACCGAATTGGCGTCGCCTTTTTTTTTTGACAGTTGGCCTTAATATGACCAGCCTCGCCACAGCCATAACATTTGCGAGAATCGGCACTTTCAACCCGTGCAACGTATCTCCTTTCGCGCCCTCCTTGGTCGCTTCGTCCACCGCCGGGGTAGCGAACTACTAGCGCGCGGCTTGATCGAACAGCTCGGTCTCGGCCTCCTCCGCTATTCGTCTTCTTCATGCTAATTTCAAAATCAATCGCGAACGCAACAAGCTCAGCAGCTTGTACAAGGTAATCAGGTCGTTGAGCATTCATCCGAGTTAACATCGCGGTTTGAATGTGCGATGGTGCCGACTTGCATAAGCATTCTAGCACACTCTGCTCCGAGTTACCCGACCGTTCTGCCACGTACACAAGGTACTGGTAGTGCTCGGGCCATGTCTTGTTTTGATCCTTCTCGCTTATCATTAGCTCAATTCCTTTAGTAGATGGAATCGGCGTCATGTACAGCAACAGCATGCTGTTCAGGACGTGTTCGAGTGTGTTCGACACCGACGACCACACCGGCAGCATCTTCTCGTAATAGCTGAGTGCCGCTCCATCCAGCTTACCACTCAGCGCGAGGACCTTAAACTCTTCTGGCCAATCACCTCCGCTCATCAGCTGGGCTGCACCGAGTCGTTGTAGGAAACGCATACCCCACGCCTTGAAGTCGGCACCCACGCCTGGGTATGTCTCCTTACCCGTAAACTTGGCAAAGCCGGGCCAGTCCAGGTCCCGAGGCTTAGGTATCTTTAACCCATAATCTTCACGCGGCGTAAAATTCGGCGACGATCTCGGTGGCTGATTCTGGTTTACTTGCTGCGGCGGCTGATTAGGCGGCGGCATGCATGGCGTTACAGGCGGCATGGCATTCTGCATGGGCTCATCTAGTGAGCCCCTCCTCATCCGACGGTCCCGCGCTCTGATGAAGTCGGTGAACGCGCTTGAACCATTGAACAAGTGCTCGGCAGGATGCGTGGGAGCAGCATCGGCACGGCGACTCATCTGGTCTTGCATCTTCATCTGGTTTGCCATAAACTGAGCTTGTTGCTGTGCCATCCCTTCGAGGAGTCCTTCAAGCCGGTCCATCCGCTCAGAGCTCGCATCAGAAATACGACTCGCGCTCTCTTGGGCTTCGGACGCGTCCAAAGCCGATCGCGTCTCCTCGCGCATCCCGGACGGGTCAGCAACCACGTTTTGTGCGTGAGTGTCCGTCATGGCGACGTCGCGTACCGGGGTTTGCTGGTGAGGAGTCGAGTCGTTGTCGCTTGGGCTCATAACCTGTTGTTTGCTGCTTGAGACTTGGATGGTAAATTGAGAACTAAATGTATTGCAGCCTTTGATCCTAGTTATCTCTGTGTCCGTTACTTTCAGTTTCTTCTGCGTAGGTTTCGTGTCATTACTCGTCCGTTACGATAGTCGCTTACCTTTATCACTAGTCGCGCCCTTTCACATCATGGGTCGCGTTCCTTCAACATCACGAGTCGTTCTACTTCAACACTTGCTCGTAACGGAGTTACACAAACGGTTGTCATGACCAGGTACGCTGGTGCGATGCGCACACAAAGAGACCAGAGAAATTGATTGGCGTACTATTTTTGTAACACATGCACTAGCGGTGATATCGTACCTTATCGATTACGGATAGATGGTATCTATCGCAATAAGGTCTTCAAATTACGTCGTAGTTCTGGTATGGTAACGCCAGAACAACCTAAATTCGAATTCCTCGAATAGGTAGCATATAGTTTCGAAATTAAATAAGTGAGGTTCACTATCGGTATAAATCAATCTATTATTTGAGTCCCCTTTTGATCATTTTACGACACGTGTCTTGCGAAGACTTCTTTTGACGTAAGAGTTACGAGCCTGTATTAAGGATAAGTACTCTTGGGCATTTGTGCCACGTGATTCCCTGGAGTCGTTAGTCCCCTAAATTAGGACTAGAAACTTGCGAGCTTGTTAGGATGCCTGGAGCTAAATCTCACCAAGTCTGTAAAAATTCCAGACTCTTTACGTTTCTACCCGTTTAATTTAATACACTGATTGTAACGGGGTAGCCCGTCACATAAAATTCACTCCAAACGGTGTCAATACGGAGATTGTCCAGCAGGACAAAATCCTACCAATATTATCCGAGATGGATAATGTTGAAGGAATATTATCCCCTTTTAGGATAATATTCATGCGCTGCTCAAAGATTGGTTGATTAAGGACATATCAACCATAGACTACCACCAATCGCTGCTAGACGCGCGTAATGAGTGGTGAGCAGGTTGTCGTCATACGATGACGTAGTTTAATATAGTTAGATAAAGACTGAAGTTATATTGATAGCTTAACTGTGTTAAATACAGTTCTCTTTTTACCTTACTTGATCGAGTCGTTCAAGTTAGCTTAGCTTCCTCTGCACGTACTAGTGTACGTGAGGTTTCGTGGCACCCCGAACAAAGGGTGCTTCGTTACACTAATAGACACTACATGCTGTAAGTCTTCCTCTGACAAAGAAGTAAGAGTAGCTCCGCTACACTTGGTAGCATTTTAAGTCAATCCACACCCGAGTCTGCTAAAAACTGCTCCTCCTAAAGGATATAAACAACGATCAACCTTTCCTATTCCTAACGACATGCGCTGGAGAAACTCAAATCACTAGTCGGGAACGAATAAGTGGAAAAATTTCTCACACAAGGTCATAGCGTAATTAGTATACATCTTACGCTTTCATGCAGTTCTTTTAATCCACTTTTAATTTGACAAGTACAAGACCATTTTGCATCAACTATGCCTACTTAAAACGTTCCTGTACCAGACGAAGAGCCTATAGCTTGCCCATTTATCTTTAAGTGTAAAGGCAGTTGAGGTTAAAGAGGGAGGGAACCTCCTTCTGTGGGTCAGAGAGGTGGGTATGGCCATGATCTCGGCTATGCTCCAATCGGAGAAACAGCATGTTGGGATGGATATCTCAAAATTAGGCGGTCAAGCCAAAGATTGTGGGGGCTCCCACATGTACCACGTCTGTAGACAAATCTTTCCCGACACTTGATTTGCCAAAAGAGCAAAAATATTGGGTGTTTACTCCGCCTAATCGGGTATACCACACGTATTTCTGCCAGAAAAAGAAAGCTTAATAGGGCTATGTCCTGGAGTTGAGAATTCTTATCGCTGCCATGCAGCTTAACCTTTGCCAGAAATGATTGTATTTACCATCTTCATGGAGAGTCTTCGTACAAGCGCAACTTAAACGGAAGTATTCCGGTTACACCTCAGCTCCTCGAGGCGGCCGTACATGTAGCATCGAACGCCGAGATTTAATTTTACAGCAGCCCACTTTGGCACTGTAACGGGGCACCCTGAAGCTTGTACTGGTGACAGTACAAGCTACTTATTCTGATAACAGAATAAGGCGGTGCCTCGTAACTTCACGTACACTCGTACGTGCAGAGGAAGACGGTAAGAAGAAGCGAGTACTCGGTTAGAGTAAAAAGTAGAACTGTATTTAGTATAGTTAATGTCTGCAATAAATCACTATTTATCTTCATCTAACTATGTCTAAATACAAATGTGTAAATCAGTTATCTGCTCACCACTCATTGCGTGCGTCTGTCGTGGCGCGTCTTCGTTGGTTGATATAATGGCCTATATCAACCAATTAGGAACTACTTGGAAGTGCTACCGAATATTGTCCTTATGACAATATTCTGAGAATATAACTCTTATAGTTATATTCTATTAACAATTTCTTATAAATTGTTATGTAACGATTCACCCCGTTACATCACCCCCCTAACCATCAGTCACTTTAGTGACTGATTGACTAAATGGATACTCGTCCCAAATCATTTGGGACGGGGTTTGCACTTGTTGGTCCGCGTCCACTTTCCAACATCTCATCGCATGGTAAACAAGCCCATGCGATGCGCGAGCAAGGCCGCCGAGAGCGCGTCTGCACGTCTCTGTGCGGACGCCGAAGCAGAAACTACAGCAACTGATATCCCATCGGTTGCTGAATCGACTCAGCCTGTATCACCTGGTGATGCAGGCGCTGGTCATGAAGACACTCGTGTCTTCACAGAGTACGAGCTCGGTGTCTCGTACTCTCCTGATACGGATGACGGATCCGTATCGACGGCAATTGAATCCAAGCCGCCTGCCAAGCGTGGCATGGACGATGCTTTGCGTCGCAGCATCTTTGGTTCATCTGATGAGTCAGATGAACCATCGCCGAAGCGAAGGCGCTCGAGGTCGCGAGACTCGGGCGCTAATAGTGGTGTCGGTTCTCCTATGGACACCACTTCACAGCGAGGTGCCAGTACTTCTGTCGGCACGTCGCAGGAAGAGCGGGACCGCAATGTGTTGCGTCTCGCTCCAGAAAAGAAGGCATGGATGCCTCCTAAATCTGTCATGGATCACTTGTCGGCGACGACGAGTGATCGTTATCGAACACGATTGTTCGATTCGTCAAGGATCCATCACCTTGACCCCAGCGCGAAAGACTATCGCGCTGAACATGAATTCTTCATCGATGCTTTCTTCAGACATCGATGGTACAGTGGGAATCACAAACGTGATGGTCCCTCACTACTTCAGGCGTGGAACGCCTACATCCATAATCTCGAGGATGTAGGTCGTGACGCTTGGAACGACAAACTTATCAAAGCTCGTGATAAGTTTGAAAAGCGAACCCCGACAGGTGCACGCTATAAGCTGCATCGTCTGTCAAGGGAGAAAGGATTACCCTGCCTCTCTTGGGGAGACTCGTGCCCATGTTGTGTGAACAACTCTGCACGAGCACCTAAGGAGGCTTACCTCCTTACCAGCCCG